AAAAGTAACTAAGTAATTAATTACTTTTGAAAATAAGTAATCAGTAAAGTAACGGGATTACTTTTTTGGGGAAGTAATCAGTAATTAGTTACTGATTACTTTCCTCAAGTAACTTGACCAACACTGATTATGACTGTGTTTTGGTTTCTGTCCCACATTTCAGGTCTCTATGTTCTGTCTCCCTAGTCTCTGTTAAGTTTACGTGTCGGTGTGTTTCCTGTTTTACATTTATAGTCCCTGTCCTGTGTGTATTGTGTCTGGTCTTGCTCCCCCTTGTCTCGTCACCCCTGATTTGACCCATCTGTGTTTCCCTCCTGTCTGTCATCCCCTGATTGCTCCCTCTGTGTATTTAAGGCCTGTTTTCTCTGTGTCAGTGTTGGGTCGTTAATGTCTGCTCGCCCTCATACTATGCTGTGTGTTCTGTTTATCTGCTTGCCAGTCTGCTAGTTTATTTCTCTCCAGAATAGCTAGTTTTCTGTCCGGTCCGCAACTCGCAATAAAGCTGTGCATTTTGAGTTCACCTTGCCTCTGTGAGTCCTGCATTTTGGGTCCTTTTCCCTGCCTGCACACAGCCATGACATATGACATATCTAGTCTTTGATTTTCCATGTTACAAGATACTTTCTACTTCAGCAAATTAAGACAAGGCATCAGGTTTCACTTTAAGCACCATAGCTTAAAGTGAAACTGAATCGACCAAAAACTAGCTGCCATCTGACTGAATGGGAGTTCAACTGTTTTTTTTGCAGGTTGAACAGGTTTCTTTGTTCTGCCAAAACAATGAACGGTAGCGCGGTCCTCTCTAGCCTCTGATCTGAGAAAGTTATATAAAAGTAATATATAATCTGAATGCTTATCTGCTGATTATATTGTTTTATGTATAAGAGAGGGCCAGTTTTGAGTTTGAGTTAAAAGTACTGACAGGAAACTATGCTTTTGCAAAAATAGGACCTGCAGCCAGAAAGTGAAAGTAAGCAGAGTCTTTGATCAAAACTTGAAGTGTGTGTGACGTCTAGAGGAATTATATAAATGACTAAGCTTCCTGTTTTACTTCAGACTTTGGCTGACATGTCTGTGTGTCTGCTGAGTCTCCATATTCCGGAATATGTAAAATTAAAGATCATTTTTTGAGTTTGACCACTTTGAGCTTTGTGTCTTTTTTGGCCGTAAAGAATACAAAGAACTGGGATTTAATACGCCTCTGCACAAAAAAAGTAAGGAAAGCTCAATTCTCACTGTTTAACTGCTCTGGCTCCTGTTTCAGGCGTTCTGTCCCGGACAGGACTCTCACTGTGAACTTTGATTATGTTATTGTAAACAAACTGATTGTAAACTCGATCGCTTCTGTGCATTGTGTCTGCTTTTGGGTCAATTTCTGTGCCATCTGTGACAAAGTTATCATCTTCCAGATTATAATAAATAGGTAGATAAGTACCTTAAAAATGTAATCCATAGTGTAATTGGAGTTGTATATACATTGCTACACAACTAATAAATGGCTTAATATCAGTATTATTCATTTTTAATTCAAAAATTCAGTATCTAGGAAGTATTAAAATGTATGCTAGTATCCTTTTTTGGAAGTGTTTCTTTTACTCCAATATTGTGACGGATTTGAACATTTGTCAATGTCGTAAATAGCATACAAATCATCATCAGTTTTAATAATAGAGTACTGTTACTTATTTAGAGACCTCTTTATAGTGATGATATGTTTATATCACAGTCACTGTTGACTTCTTTGTCTACTAAACCACCGAATCACTCACAAACCATGAAATATGCATATTGTATTCGTTAGTCAGTAGTTAACAGCTATTATTATTGCAAGCAGCTGACAAACCTTTTAACATGTCAGCAGTCATACTGGTCACAAAATAAAGTAAAAGTTTAGAACTTTAGAACTTTAGAAAGCAAATTTAACGCATTATTACCAGTCCTTTCGTCTGTACTACTGACACTTAATGTGTTGACAACCTTAGGTTGTGTCCACGCCTTCTCTGTCAACATTATTTTCACTATCAACAAACCTGATGCTTCAGGGCAAAACAGTGACAAGTCACAGTGTAAAAACAGTGACTTGTCTAAGAAGTTTACATCCAATGGTTTCCACATAGTGGAAATGGCAGAGATAAACCCCTAAAATTCCCTACACCTTCCTTTCACCTAAATTTAAAAATGAAAATCTAAATTTTGCAAGAGAGAAAAATATTGCCATTAGTCCCATTTAAGAATAAACTTAAATGGGATAGGCAAGCAAGCATTTCTAAGTGATGTTATTTGTAATGTTTCAGTTGAGAGAAAAAAAATATATTAAGCATCATGTGTCTTTTGCAAGCCAGCTGCACTCACATGATCCTCTACTGATCCAAATCAGCTAACATATTATAAGCAAAGATAATAATCTGTATCTTAATTCAAAAATATCATATAACACTACTGTTTTGTAAATATTAAATAAATTGCTTTCCAGTGTTTAAGTCAAATTAGTTAGTATGACAAATAGTTCTTTTAAAATTTACTTGAAAAAAACCCCCAAACAACTATTTTATTTTTTAATAATTTTATTAAATCTATTTTTCTGGATGATAGAAGCCACTTATGAAGCATATCAATGAAAAAAAAAGATTAGGTTTTGGAAGAAGTATTTTGCAAACTAAAACACAAAATGTGACACACTCTGGGCAGAGAGACATCCATAAAGAATGGCTTAAGAATGGACTAGTAAAAGCGCTATATAAATACAGGCCATTTACCATTTACCATTTACCATTTAATGCTGGATGAGGACAAAAACACACAATTGGTTGAAATAAATACCCAAAGTTTCACCTGAAGACATCAATGTGAAAACAAAAAAAACATCACAGTAAGAACAGTGGCAGAGGTCAGAAATAATTGCATCAAAGGGGCCCAATGTACCGTGTTTTTCGGACCATAAGGCGCACCGGATTATAAGGCACATTAAGCGAAACAAAACAGTCAGATAAGTCAGATTGTATTCAACTCATTCTTCTTCCTTTCTCCACTTCCATACCATTGATTCATTAATGTTGATTTTTCATTAATACTTAGGCAAGACCTCTTTATAGATATAAAGGGGAAATATGGTACCATATTTTCCGCACAATAAATATGATGAGTTCTGAAAAAATGAAAACGTACAGCTCTGCCATCACTTCCAACATAAATTAAGACAGAAAACTAAATAGTGACGTTTGTAGGGTTACTGAAGTTGGGCTAGTTGGTATATAATGATGTGCTGCGTGATCGCTAGCGACACAGCTATGTTAGCATAACATAAACACAGTGAAGCTGGAGGATGAACGCTAACTTTTTAGCAACTGAGATAATCCATCCACAATACAAGGTTCGTCATTAATATACTGCAACAACATGGTAATAGAGCAGCTGCGAGAGAATTCAACATTAATCAATCAATGGTACAGAAGTGGAGGAAGCTAGAAGAATGAGTTGAGTAAAATTTGGCTTATCTGGCCGTTTTGTTTAGCTTAATTCGCCTTATTATCCGGTGCACCTTATATATGAAAACAGACACGGTCATCAAGCCCACTCAAGAATGGTGCTAATTATTTTAGGGATTGTAACATTTAGTCCTATCAAGTAATCATAATAATAATAACAATAACAATTGCAACAACAATAAGAACTCTTATTATTATTATTATTATTATTATTATTATTATTATTGAAACACTTTTTCACATTATACACTGGATATTACACAACGATAAAGGTTCTCCATTTATTTTTTATTACAGTTAGTATGTCCTTTGCATGGTAATACTAGCAGCAAAGGACACAAAAAATGACATCAGACAATGACATGTGAAGGGGTCCTGCCCAAATATCAATGACACTATCCTCTTGAGGCTGTTTTGGCAGCATTATTTAGACAACTTATGTTGGGTTTTCTATTACTTTGTTACTTGTTCATTTGTGTTCTTAGTAGCCTCAATGAATGGTGAGTGTTAGTATTTGTAGCTACCATGTTGCATAGTGTTTTAGAGTTAGAGGATTTAAAGATAGGCGATTGTGGGCGAGACACTTCACCTGTTGCCTTCTGGTGGTGGTCAGAGGGCCCGGTGGCGCCAGTGTCTGGCAGCCTCGCCTCTGTCAGTGCGCCCCAGGGTGGCTGTGGCTACAATGTAGCTTGCCATCACCAGTGCGTGAATGTTTGTGTAAATGGGTGAATGGGTGGATGACTGGTTGTGTAAAGCGCTTTGGGGTCCTTAGGGACTAGTAAAAGCGCTATACAAATACAGGCCATTTACCATTTAAGATTCTTAAGTTTTCAGCTAATAATAAAGAACCTCTAGTAAGAGTTATGCGTTAAATGTTATGGTGTAAAACATGGACTCAAATATCAGCTGTATTGTGCTGATAAGAGGCTAATAGAATATATATTTAAAGGTATTTATGTATATGTGTTTGCATGTGTGTCGGTTTGTGGGTTGTCATAATAAAATAAAATTTATTGTCACAACTTCTCTGTGTGGCAATGCACAAGTCAGATCCTCTATAGTTATTTGCACATAGTCAACAACCACTCCCTCCCTCCCTCCCTCTCCCACTGAATAGTTGCTCATTACTTGATAGCTACATGGATAGCTTAATAGATATATCCTACAAGTTCTTCTTGACTCATATTCCTGGTTTGCAGATGCATTACATTTACACTCTGTCTTATCTCACACTAATCTGTAGCGAACCTCTGAAGTGTGTTTGCATTTATTTAGTATGCATTTCCCAGATTTCTTTTTTCCCTATTTTTTCAAACAGTTTAGCAATTTTTCTTGTTCTGCCTCAAATAGAGTGGCCTCATATTGTGTAGTCAAATTCTTCAGAAGCAAATGGGATAATTTTAATGAGTGCCATTTTGAGTTGTTTTGCTTTTTAATCATTGTGTTGTTTTTGTTGCTATGTTACTTCGTTTTAGGTTAATCAGCACCAGAACCACAAGGAAAGTTTAACTGAACAGGAGTTTTTCAACAGCAACAGAGGTAAGCAGAGAAAACAATGAGATAAACAGTTCATGCAAATGCAGAATCTGACCAAGATCTAGAAATATTTTGTACTGTGTTTTCCATTCTGTTGGGTGTCATACTGTTTTATTCAACTTCAAACAACAGATCTTGTTACTTACATGAACTAATAATGTGGGAGGTGATTTATGCTGGTAAATGCTATCTGTTCAAATGCCATGAATATAAGAGGACACAAACCAACTTTTTATGCTTATCCGATTTTGTGCATTCCAGTGCAATGCTCTTAATATGCTGCAAACTATAAATATTTATAAGTAAAGAGTTATTGTTTCTATTACTGTATTCTAAAGGCTTAGTCCTATTTTTCACATTCACACATGTATTTGTTCTCAGATTGGAACTCTGCCAAGATGTATTTCAAATGGGGAAGATCCAGAGTTAGCATTTTCCCGCTACTGAGTATCACAGCAATTGTTTTGGTCTCCAATCTTTTATGGAGTTTTTCTGGATATACCTTCTGTCATCGCGAGCCGAGTCTTTGTGGCTGTCAGAAATGTCTAAGAGACAGTGATCCTTGGTTTAATGACATCATTAGTGAAGCTCCTGTACCCTTTCTGTCACAGAAACATATACCTTCAGAGGAAGATTTCCTCTGGTGGAAGGTAAATAATAAAAAAAAATCAACATATCACTTTTTTGGCTTCTGTGGTGATGTTAAAGGTATTATTATTATTAAAGAGCAGTATCAAGTATGTCATGACATTTAACAACATATTGCTGCTGTTAAATGACACGGTCTACCTCCATCCAAAAAACAAGCACAAATATTCCTCTATTGTGTAAGTAAACAAACTACACAAGTTTAGAGCACCTTGTACTATCCATCGTTTATTCTTTTAAATATACTGCACTCTTCACCCTACTGTATTTCTACCTGAAGAATGGTAAAATCCTTACCATTTACTGGCAATGACAAGTTCTGGAAAACTTTTTTAGTTCCTTTAGTGAAAGTCGCAATATCACAATATGAAAGCGCCTCCCTACGCATAAAACTGGATCATTGGCATTTTTTTTAAAGGGCCAGATTTACTAAATGGGGCAAAATAGCATGAGAGCGAATTCCCACTTATTAGTAAGACAATCAGTAAGGCAATTGTTTTGGTCTGCAACCTTTTATGGAGTTTTTCTGGATATAACTTCTGTCAAAAGAAATGGCTTAATATGGCAATGAGTATTTTTTTTGTTTCTCTCAAGAAAGGGGTAGCGTTCAGGCCCAGGGGTTGAGGTTCTCACTAATGATAACTTAGAGCTCTGAGGTAAAACTGTGACTCTATCTGAATTGAAAGACAAAAAAAATATTCGAATCTACAGTATATGTTTGTGTAAGTACTGTTCATAATCTATCATTGCATAAATGTGCACAACTCATATGCTTGAAGAAACTTACAGATTAATGCTGATGTTGTATCTTGCAGATCAGTCTTAAACTTTTCAGAACAATTCTAAATAGGTCTGTGCGATATGACCAAAATCTCATATCCCGATATAAGAATTCTATCATCCTGATAACGATATAAATCACAAAAATGTGACATTTTCTGTAAATTCTGTGAATATCGGGCAGCTCGACTTGCGGGAAGTGTTTCCAGCTGCGCGTCATGTAGCTGGAGTTGAGTGTTTTAACCGATGCACGAAACGATACATTTTTAGACATAAGTTGTAACGGCCGCCGTTTTCTTTGTGAGTATTTATTACACGGCATGCTGCGGAGAAAAGCCGGTTCTAACGTTTGAGTCTAAGGTTTATTTTTTAGCACCTGGCGGCTCTTTTTTACTATTCATGCGTAAATAATCTACTTTTTCACGTGGTTCAGTTTATTTTGAAAAGTCTCAACAGGATCATGAGCTTTATTGTGAAAGGTTTATGTGGAACATAAACAAACGGACACGCGATGGTGTTACCGTCGTTATTGCTAACCACAACGCATAAAAACAGGCGCTTGTCCGCCCGAAGTGTGGTAATATTAAATATAAGAGAAAGAGAGAACTTTAAGAAATTAATATAGCCACTGCAGTGACCATCAAAACAATGAAAAAATATTGCTGTAAAAAGTTCATTATGCAACACCACGAAACAAACTATAGCATAAAATGAAACGATAGACGTTTTTATATCGTCATCGAATATATATCGTTATATCGAACAGCCCTAATTCTAAATATCAAATTAAAGTACTGAATTAAACTTCAGGCCTAATAAGATTTTTGCCTAAATCAGTATACATTTTTTACTCTTGAGCTTCAGTGATCTTTCACAGTTGTTGTAAATGGCGCATCATAATATTGATGCTGATATGGAAAAATGTTTGAAAGGGTCTTTCCCAGACTTACTGGTGACTCATGAACTTGTAATCATTGGGAAATTCTATAATATTTTTGTTCTGTGGGGAAGTTTGATTTTTTTTCAATAACTTTCTCCTCTTTGTCAGAACTTACAGGGGGCAAGACTTCAGAACTTGACTTTGTACAATAAAACTCTAGAGAGGCTATTTCAGACAATAACACCAATTGCAGATATTGGAGAACCTCGTCCTGATCACTGCAGGAGTTGTGCCGTGGTGGGGAATTCTGGAAATTTGAGAGGATCGCATTATGGACCTCTTATTGATTCCCATGATATCGTAATAAGGTAATAATCATTTAACACAAACACAAAATCTAATGTAAACAATGTTCTTGCGAGACAAAAAGTATAATATAATATAATATAGTATAATATAATATAAGTCTATGTATAAGATAAGATAAGATAAGATAGAACTTTATTAATCCCTCGGGTGGGTTCCTCTGGGAAATTCGACTTCCAAAAAGCACAGCAACAACCGAAGTTACAGTTACAGAATTGTTATATATATATATATACACACACACACACACACACACACACACACACACACACACACACACATATATAAATACAGAGACAAATATAAATAAAATATACAAAGGGGATAAATAGAATAAATAGGAATAAAAAATAAAAAATTATATTTATGTATCTAAAATGCAAAAATGTGTGCTAAATATGTATCCTTCTGTATTATTTAGAATGAATCGGGGGCGTACCAAAGGCTATGAAAGAGATGTTGGAACCAAAACAACTCATCATGTCATGTATCCAGAGAGTTCTACTAGACTGGACAATACCACTCATCTCTTGTTTTTTCCTTTCAAAACACGTGACTTTTTGTGGCTCATGAAGGACATAAATCGAGGGTAGGCTAAAAGGGCTACTGTCTTAAAACCTATGTTGCCAGAAATTGTATAACTGTTTTGCTCTGAATAGCAGATTTTAACTGCTTTGCAACATAGTTTCAGCTAATTGTAAGGAAAAATGCAGTATAGTTTTTTGTTTTTGTTTTGTTGTTAGAACAACCAAATTAAACAAAACAGTTTTTGAGACAACCCATCAGAGGTCAGCCTTTCTTTTTTTAAACAGCAAAAAGTGCATAAAGTTATATGAATTGTTATATGAACAACTTAATCTTTTGTTGTGATGTGCTAGTCTTAGGTAATTATTAGCATTTATTTATGTAATCAGTTCATTTCATCTTTTTAACAGGGAAAATGGTGCTCCAAACTTAAAGAAGATAGCTAACAAAGATTTGGTGAGTATTTTAGGTTTACATGAACAAAACTGACATATAAGCTACCATTAATTCAGGCAGGAAACAAAGTCAGCTGATTTTACACACTGAACTGGATAATCTCATATACAGTAGGTTTTACTATTAACCTGATTTAGCATATCCACCATTGCTACAGATGTGCAAGCCATTTCACAAATCACCTGCACCTCAGCTTTTTCTTTGTTGCAGTATTTACTGTTTACTCTGCTCTGTATTGGGTATTGTTATGGTTTTCCCAATCTCTCATACTTGGCATTTATGTGCCTGGAAGGTCATGCGGGTCAATAGTCAAAGCCATACCACCAAAAACAAATACTGGCTTCTTTTAGCTACAGTCGTGCTAATTTAAAGTATTTTGTGAATTCATTGCAGAAAGTAATAGTTCATAGAACTCAGATTTAAGGCTATGTCTGATTCATAATAGATCTGGATCCTCCATCCGGCTTTCATGAAATATGTTCATCAAGAATGGCTGGGAAAGAAGGGTGCTTATCCATCCACTGGCTTTCTTGCAGTGGTTCTCAGCCTAGTGATGTGTGATGAGGTATGTTCACTTTAAACAATTTGTACATTATGCATCTGACTGACAGTGGTGGTAGTTAAACACTGAGAAACACTGATTTACCAGCAAAGCTGAGAAAAGTCTGCCTTAGATGACTACATGCCTAAAACAGAAATGTATCTATGGTTATTTCAAGAAGAGTCAAGAAGAGTGGACATCTGATGGTTGACACATTTACCTGCAAACCAAAGGCAGCAACTACTCTAGCTAAAGACACATGGGTTGTGTTTAAAGGTGGTACCATGAAGGATATCAAGTGTTAAAAGTATTGCCAAATCGAACATGTAGAGCCTACCCGCTTGTGTCAACAGAACAGCTGAAAGTAGTTTTACATAACTCTTGGATAGCAATGTGTAAAAATGCCATACCTGATGTAAGAGCCAATTAAAGGTTAATTTTATTAGTACTGGTAAAATGATTAGAGGAGAAATATACATGTTTGATGTTAAGAATATAATTTCTAGTTAAGGCTTTCACAATAAAACAGGAAACATGAATCACAACTCAGAGACACGGACTCAACACAGAGAGACAGAAAATGACACATGGAACTGAACTATACATGAAGCCACAATTCCTAAAACATGGATAACAGAAACATGAAACTGTAATAATAATAATCACAACCACAACAAGAGAACAAGAAAACAATCCATGATGCAAAATTAAACCAAAACATAATAAACTCAAAATACCGGGTCCAACGGACCCAAAACCGTGACAGATACAGTCAATGTGGAGTTTTTGGCATGTTATGAAGCTGGTTTACACTATGTCTATTAAAAATTCTAAGCAGAAGACAAATAGTGCATGCAACCTGAGCCAATAAACCCCTGCAACTTATAAGATGGCAGATGAAAGAGAGGTGGGAAGAACATGTAAGTTAACAGAGAAGGCTTTGGAAGAAAAATTACAAAGATGTATTGCTTTAAGAAGACGAACATTAGGAACAATCACAGGCAAAATAAAGGAGATAAAGATAATGATGAGTGATGCTCAGAACCTTCAAAATTTGAAAGAAAGGGTGGAAAGTAACTTTGCATAGGCTCTGAATGAGTTTCAAAGTCACAATAACCAGGTTATGAGCCTTTTGTCTGAAGAAGAAAAAATATTTGACCAGGACAATTGGTTTGAGCCCAAAATGGCATCAATAAGAGAGTTTATGAAAACAACAAAGAAATGGATAGCAGAGGATCATAAGCATATGATTCCAAATGAAGCTGAGCAGCAGGAGCACATTACAGTTGGCTTGGAGGAAGCTATTAACCCAGATGACAGTGCATCACAGGTTGGAGCTAGAAAGGATGCAGTTCATAGCTCGCGTGGGTCTCAAGTCAGCCGAGCATCTACAACAGGGGTGCCCAATCCCAGTCCTCGAGAGCTACCGTCCTGCAGCTTTTAGACGCATCCTTCTTCTGACACACCTGAATCAACTGAATGCCTTGTTATCAGGCCTTTGCCAAACTTGATGGCATGCTGAAGAGGTAATCACACCATTTGATTCAGCTGTGTTGGAGTAGGGATGCATCTAAAAGCTGCAGGATAGTAGATCTCGAGGACTGGGATTGGGCACCCCTGATCTACAACATCTAGAGTTTCCTCCACTCGTGCTAAACAGGAGGCAGAACACGCAGCCTTGCTGGAAAGAGCCGCAGCATTGAAGAAAAAGAAGAAAAAGCAAGAACTTGAGTTAGAGTTGGCCAGGATTAGGCAACATCTTCAGTTTGAAACAGCAAGAGTCAAAGCGGAAAAAGAAGAGTTAGAGTTGGAGACTGCATTAGCAGAAATTCAAGCAAAATTAAAGGTGCTCAAAGAATGTGAAAGATCTGAAGATGGTCTGAGCAGTTATGTGTCAATACAAAGATCCCAAGGTCGAGGAGTTAAAAAGGAAAGAGTTGGCATAATGCTCCCACAACAAGCTGATGTGAGTAGTCACGCTAATTCACAAGTGCAAAACTCACAGGTACCACATCCAGTCCCCACTCATGGGCTTAATGGTCACGTTAACAGAAGTGATGATGTATTGTCAGTCATGCAGAAACAGAATGTAATCACTGAGTTACTTGTGAAACAGCAGCAGCTGGCTCAGTTGCCATCAAAGGACATTCCGGTTTTTAAAGGTGATGCACTACAGTATAAGGCCTTCATAAGAGCCTTCGAACAAGCAGTAGAGCAAAAGACTGATAACGATCAAGATAAGCTGTATTTTTTGGAACAGTTCACTGCTGGCGAACCACAGGAGCTAATTCGCAGTTGTGTACAAAGGTTACCGTGAGGCCAGACGGTTGCTACAGTGTATACCGTACACTCTCTGATGGTGTGCAGCATTCCCACGTCTAACAGGCAAAGGAAGCTTTGGAGCACACATGTAATTTCACGCTGTTGGAAGATAAACAAATAGAGAATGGTAAATTTACATGAACCTCACTCTAAATGGGTTTATATAAATATCATATGTAATATGGCAATGACAAACCTTAGCAGACTCTGTGGGTCCAGCTTGCGCAGTGAAGCACGAGCGATTTGCTCCTGTACTGGGCATTCCATTGTCCTCCTCTACCCACGCAGTGCCTTCTTTTGCCGTCTGGCTCAGACAGGGCTTCCCAGTACCAGGGAGGCATCTTCCGAGGAGGCATGTTGGGTTCTTCCGTCTCCTTTTCAGATTCTTCTGAGGAGGTATCAGTGGCCTGCTGGACAAATGAAACCTCTCCTCCATCAGAATCTGCTTCGTTCATTTCCTGAAGCAAGGCCCAAGGATGTTGCGCCGATAGGTTATTCCTGCATGGCAGTGATACGGAGGCCATCCTGATGTGCGTTCTCAGAAATGCGAAGAAGAAATGATTCTCCCTCCTGGTCGGTCTGCTTTTATGTACAGTACTGTGCTGTAGTCAAGCAATGCCACTCCTACACATACACAAATCTCTCCTGGTTGGGGGAGGGTGTTTTGCACAACAAAAGCAGGAGAACAATGGAGCTACTACATTTATTTCATGCATACATACATATACATGCATTTCACCCCCATGTCATACTGTGTATGGTTGTGTGTGTGTGTGACAAATAAAAAATTTGAATTTTTACTAACCCTGCGCAAATTTGCGTATATTCCCTGAACCTAACACCTCCTAGTACCCTGCTGAGAGGCCTTCAGCTCCATTGTAGGGTTGTAACCCAGATTTTTCTCTTACCTTGGATCTGAGCTACTCTGAGTGAACAAATGCAAATCTTCCAGGCCTCAAAGATAATGGGTGGTTTGCACAACAAAAACAGGAGGAGAATCGAGCTGATGACCTGTGAAAATTTCAGCAGGGGTGATTAACACCTCGGGACATCCACCAGAAAATAAAAAAGTCAGTAATTCTAGGAGGTCTTACCGGTAGGTTCAGGGGATTTACGCAAATTTGCGCAGGGCTAATAGATCTAGTAGTAGGGACTTGTACCAGGAAAAAAAAGAGGCTCAGTAATTCTAGGTTAATTTTATTGGTACTGGTAAAATGATTAGATGAGAAATATACATTATACGTTTGATATTAAGAATATAATTTCTAGTTAATTTCAAAATACTGTTTTGTTAAAGGTATAGAATATAAAAGTGCGACATTCTAATGCACTTTTTAGTATTTTGGGCTTCCGGCACACTGTAATTACGTAGTTGGGGAGTCGGATAAGCTGGAAGCAACACAGTTTTTTGACAGAGTCTTGCCATGTAAATTAAAAGTTTCAATAAACATCTTTTTTGCAAGAAAAGTACCTGGACTTGCTCGCGTTTCAAATGCATGTTGCCAGACTGACTCCTAAAGGTGGTACAGAAGAGTGAAATAGAGATGGAGTGCCGCCACTACACTTGGTATTGATTCAATGCTAAATACAGGGCCAGTGTTGGAGTCAACCAGTGTTACGTTTCGGTGTGTCAGTGTTTTGTTTTTGCGTGACTGTTATGTATTTCCTGCTTTACTTTGAAAGTCTGTGTTATTTTAGTGTGTTCAGTTTACGTTTTCCCTGTCTCGTCAGTTCTAATTTGCCCCAGCTGTGTTTCCCTCCTGTGGTCCATTCCCTGATTGCTCCTTCTATGTATTTAAGCCTTGTGTGTCAGTTGGTCATGGTCGCGATCTCCCCCGTGTTGTAAATAGTTTGGTGTGTTTGTTGTAAATAAATAGTCTGTTGTAAATAGTTGTGAATGGGTTTGTTAATACTTTCGTCATGGGACCTTCGTTTTGGGATTTTGGTGGAGAGCTTTAGTTTGTTTCTCGTGTGTTTTTTTTTCTTATTTTTATTTTCCTGCGTTGCACCCCGGTTGCCTAGGCCGGGGTGTAACATATGGGGGCTCGTCCGGGATTTCTGTCTTCGCTGGAGGGTCCGGGGACCGCTTCAGCCTCCGTCTGTCTTCGCTGGAGGGCCCGGGGACCGCTTCGGCCGTCTGTCTTCGCTGGAGGGTCCGGGGGCCGCTTCAGCCGTTCGCCGTTGCTGGAGGGTCCGAGGGAGGGACCGCTTCGGCCTCCGTCTGTCCTCGCTGGAGGGTCCGAGGGAGGGACCGCTTCAGCCGTCTGTCTTCGCTGGAGGGCCCGGGGGGCCGCTTCAGCCGTTCGCCGTTGCTGGAGGGTCCGAGGGAGGGACCGCTTCGGCCTCCGTCTGTCTTCGCTGGAGGGCCCGGGGACCGCTCCAGCCTTCATCCGCCTTCGTTGGAGGGTCCGTGGGACCACTCCAGCCTTCGTCGTCTGCTGGAGGGTCAGGGGGACCGCTCCGGCCTCCATCAGTTTCATCTGCCTCCGCTGGAGGGTCCGTGGGACCGCTTCAGTCTTCATTTGCCTTCGCTGGGGGGTCCGAGGGACCGCCTCAGCCTTCGTCGTCTGCTGGAGGGTCCGTGGGACCGCTCCAGCCTTCATCCGCCTTCGCTGGAGGATCCGAGGGACCGCTCCAGCCTTCTGCAGCTGGTGGGCTGCGTGTCCGTGTGTGCAGCTGGTGGGCTGCGTGTCCGTGTGTGC